GATCCTACATTTGTTTTGTGCTCTTTTGAATCTGGCAATAAATTGAGCAGCCTTCTCATTAAGCCTTTGACTCAACCTTGCCAAGTATGCCATGGAAACTTCTGGCTCCGTTTGGAAGAATTGGGCATGAAACGCCTCTTTTATTTGTTGCCAAGTTTGGATAGAGTTAGGAGTAAGGTTAATATACCATACAAAAGCTGCACCAGCTAGAGAATTTGGAAAATGTCTTAACTTCATGTAATCATTATTAGTAAATTCACTACATTGGGCAGCGAACCTAGCAATATGTTCTTCCGTTGACTGGTTTTCATTCCCATAAAAAAGAGCAAAGTCTGGTATTCTAAACTCTCTTGGGTATTCATGTACCCTATCCACCCATTCTGGATATGGTTTCCTATACACAGGAGTTTGAACCCCCCGAGCCATAGGTCCACACATTTCTCTAACAATGTCAGTAATTTGGTCTCTAGGAACTATATTTTGTGCTTGTTGAACCACCACTGGAGGAACAAACACAGGATTTGGTAGAAAATCTTGTGCCTGAGGTCCTCTTGGTCCATAGGGAGGTATATTTGGGACTGGCTGTCCTTATGGTGCTGGTTGCTGTTGAGAGTATGGTTGACCTCTCTAAGCCTGTCCTACGAAAGGTGCTAAAACAGGTGTTGTGTCTTTTCCAGCCGCAAGAAACCCTTCCAACCCCCAGGTAGAAATTCGAACAAAGGATTAGTGAACCCCCTTGTGCTAGGCATGGCTTCAAACATGGGATTTGGAAACATCCTTATGTCATTTTTCTTGTGTTGGCCTAGATCCACCAATTTAAATGGCTTCACTATTAAGTAATGAGGCATTTTGATTTGTCATAGGCCTCGAAAGAGGCTCATACCAAGGCTGAGGTAATGGTCTTTCATAATTTTGATTATTAGTTTGACCATTAGTATGTCCATTACTTTGCATAAGCTGTTTATCTCTAGCCAATCTTTGCATATGGACATTTGAAATTTCCTCTATATGCCTTGTGTTAGTTGGTTGATGGGTATTCATCTGATCCATAAAGGATATTGCCCATCTTTCCATTGTGTTCATTAACTAATGTCTCATGGCATCTACTAGGCCTCCCCATGGATTCATTGGCTGAGTAGATGGAACAGTGGATGGTCCAACTCCATGGCTCGTCCAATATTTTGAACATGTAGTACTTGCTCCAAAGTACTGGTCTGTTCGACCATAGGTTCTAATAAGACAGGTACTTCCATAGGATGTGTTATCACATTATCCTCTAGATTAGGTATTTCTACCTCTCCTTCAACACCTTCTTCCAAGCATTCATTTTCTCCTTGTCTCCTACGTTTAGCCATTTCAACTAGTCCCACTGGGCGTGCCAAAAATATATGTTGGTTTTTTTGGCTTTCAAAGGTTAGTATTGTAATTTTAATCGTGCCAGCAAAGATCAATCAGTCCTTACAGAAGATTAATTGTTAACCAATTATCAGACGATTGTGTTTCATTTCTTTCAACTTCAATGAAGATGACTTTTACTGGTGGCTTGTTTAGGAGAATTTGGTAAACAATAGTTAAATGAAGAACATTTGCAGCATTTCATTAAGTAAAAATGAAAAACTTACAATGATCTGATCCAGCCTCGTAGAGGTTTACAGCAACAAGTTCAAAGGTTAGTATTGTAATTTTAATCGTGCCAGCAAAGATCAATCAGTCCTTACAGAAGATTAATTGTTAACCAATTATCAGACGATTGTGTTTCATTTCTTTCAACTTCAATGAAGATGACTTTTACTAGTGGCTTGTTTAGGAGAATTTGGTAAACAATAGTTAAATGAAGAACAATTGCAGCATTTCATTAAGTAAAAATGAAAAACTTACAATGATCTGATCCAGCCTCATAGAGGTTTACAGCAACAAGATACTTGAAACTACTCTTATAAATAAAGTGCAATACAAGAATTTGAAGTGCAGAAATGTAAAGAACAAGAAATGTAAAAACTAGAAGGAAAATAAAATAGATAAACACTGGTTTCTGGATCTGAGTCCAGATCTTTCTTTCTGGGGCCCTCTCTGCAATTTATATTTCTCAATGATAACCGTCAAAATGAATGTCTAACCGTCGAAACTTCCCTTTATGATCGTTGATCATGCTCTCTCACAATTAGCTCCACTACGTCATATTTGTAGTTAAGCTTCCCTCCTGATTTTGAATTTGAACCTTGTAAGTAACCATTAGGCTACATCACCTTATATCCCTCGATCATTGCAGTGCTACGCAGACCCATTATTACCAGTATGAGTTGACACGTGTCTGACTATGGTTGGCAATTTATATTACTTTCCTAAATTATCTTTCTCATGCCACGTATTGAATCGTGATTGGCTTGTGTAATTTATATAGCCAACAGAAACACCTAAATTACTTTAAAGTTCATACGATTAGTGGCAAGTAGGAACTTGAAAGCTTGATGAATATGGGAAACATACTGGTATGCTTGGCATATGTTGTTATTAGTTTGGTTAATAATTTTGAAAAACCAGTTTTAGAATTTTTTTTTTTTAGTGAACTTTTCTAATATTTGAAATGTATATATTTTACTTTTTTGATTCAATACATTTAAAAGATTAACATACCGTATTTATGATTTTTCTTAAACTTTTTTACTAAATACAAAAATACAAAAATTCTTTGTATCTTTTTGTATTTACTTGGGATGAAGATTATCACATTGCCTATTTTGAGAAGCAAATTACAAGTTAATTTTTAATTTTTTTTTAATTTTACAAAAAAAAAAAAAGTGTACAAAAATCAGCCCTCATTTGGCACAAGTTAAACGGAGGCTTTTTGGCTAAAATAGCCATAAACGACAAAATAGATTTTTTAGCCCAATAAGACAAAATGTCACATCCATATCATAATCATTTTATTTTTTCTCTCACAAAAGTCAAAAAAGCAAAAACATTTATCCCAAAATGAAATTTTTTAGTCCCAAACTAAAATAACCAAAAAATTAAAAAATCAAACCCTATCCCAAGCGAGAATTCAAAACAGCATGACGTTTAAAAAGTTAATTTTTTTAAGTAGTAACTTAATTGCCAAAATAGGCAGTGGTCCCGTTTGGTAAAATTGCGGGAAAGTCATTATAGATTATAACTTAACAGATTATAACTTACAGCTGTGAACATAAGCTGGTAACCTGTTTGGTGTAGCTGTGGGATTATGGATTTAAGTAGCAGAGTAGTGTTTGATAAATAAACTGTAAAATAGATTTTTGTTGTATAATTGTCATTTTTGCCCTTATAAGATATACAATTTGTGATTTTATTTATAATACATTTTTTTCTTTTTCTTTTTCTCCTTATTTTCTTTTCTTTTCTTTTTTTTAAAATTTTTTTTCTTATCTTCTTTCTTTGTCAATTTTGTTTAATTTATTAATTCATTAAAATTAGGATTCATGTTCTAATTTATATTAATGCTGTGATTTAGCCTGGTTCTTTGACCAGATCGCGATGCTAGGGTTTCAGATCGTGATCTAGCCTGGTTCTTTGACCAGATCCTGAAGAGAGAGAGAGAGAGAGCTCTCATTTTTTTTTATCAACAAAAGAGAAACTTTATTGATGAAAGAAGAATTACAAATGAAGAACATACATCAATAAAGAAGGAAGGTGCAACAAGCATCATAACTATACTTAACAATCCTAACTAGGTTGACACCGATAAGGTAGCACAATCATATGCCAGCACAACGCCCAAGATTGGAGGGGATCCAATCTAGCAGACAAGAAAAACAAACAAAAAACAGTGAACATCCAGCAAGTAACATCCAAAGTAAACACCCCAATCAAAATACTGCTCTTCAGCAATAGAAGACAACTAAGGATAACAGAATGCACCCAAAATAACATAATCCCCAACCCTGCAGGTAATCAGCAACCTGAACTAGAACCTTAAACCAACAGAAACAAAGAGAGCTCTCGTTGATGCGATGGAGGTGGTTTTCCGACAAAATTGCAACATTAAAGTTTTAGATCGCGACGGCGGTGGTGACAGAAAGAGAGTTTCAGATCGGGAGAGAGGGGGGGAGAAGAGAAATCGCGAAGAGAGAGAAGAGGTAGCGAAGAGAGAGAACTCTTTTTCGCTCTCGCTAGAAATCGCCTCTGCTCTCTCTCTCTCAAGTGAGCAGTGTTTGATAATATGGGGTTTATATAATTGGGTTTTTCGTAATAATTGAGATTGACGAGGGACATTTAAGTAATTTTGTCTCTCAATTTTAACTCCTTGGTTAAGTTGTTTCGAAAAAGCACCTCGAAGGTCACTTAACAAAAAATTACTCTTTTAACTTAATTTAAATTACAAAAAATGATTTTAACCTTTACCAAACATACTAAAATAATTTAAAATAATCTAGAAACTTAACCTTTACCAAACATATGCCTTTCGTGTTTCCAAATAGAAAAATGTTTGAGGGCCACAAAAAGTGTGGCTCAAATGGCTCAAAACTGTCAAAGTGACGTCGTTTTGCGTTGTTTTACGCCCAAAACGACGTCATTTTAACAATTTTTGAGTCATTTGAGCCACACTTTTTGTGACCCTCTACCATTGCTCTCCAAATAAGAGTTCAAAACAACACTGACAAATAAATGGAGAAGGCGACATATGATACAGTACAGGTACAGGTACAGTAATTTCTGATCGGTCATTTCAATCACATCACACTGCTACTGCCTCTTTTGTCAGAAGAGATGGCATGGCAGTATTATTATTACATTCATGGACAAATTACAAACACCCTTTAAATTTGATAAAAATACAGATTCTTTTAAAGTTTGAGAAATTATAAATTATTTTTTAAGTGTTAAATTTTTATAACAAATTAAAAAAAATTTAAAAAAAAACTGTATAAAAATAAAAATCTCAAAAAACAATTTATTATAAAAATATAAACCTCAATTCTCAAACCTCAAGAAAAAATATGTATTTCCACCAAAACTTGGTTGTTTGTAATTTGCCCTACATTCATTTATTTAGACCAGCACTGCTTATATAAAGCAAACATAGATCTGATTTATTCATTTTAGATTTATCAAAATGGCTCAGATTGAAGCATCTTCTTGTGGCGGTGGAGGCAAGAGGAGGGGGGTGAAATATCTTGTAGATGCAACCCCTAACATGACGACGCTGCCACCGGAATATGTTTTGCCAGTACCTCCGCCGCCGGCTTCTGGCAGCGACGGTGAGATTCCTGTGATAGATTTGAGTGGTCTTGATGGACCCATTGAGCGCCGGAGGTTGACGGTTGAGGCCATCAGCTCTGCTTGTGCCGACTAGGGATTCTTCAGGGTACAAACACTTGATTCTCTCATTCTCTCTTATTCCCCTTCTCTAACCCCCTATCATTTCTTTATGTCATAAAGTTTGGTGCCGGTGGAAATGTTGAACCTTGTTGATTGTTATAACCTGTTTTTGCTAGTGTATAATATTATACATATATATATATTTTGGGCTGCAACTCGGTCGATTGAGATGTTGTTTAAATTTAGTTTAAGTTGTATTGAGAGCTATTCAGATTTATTTATATCTGAATTGTATCTTGAAGTTGTCTGCTTAAGTCGACCGGAGTTAGACCTAAATTTGAGCTTTTCATTTTTTGGAATGTAGCTAACTTAATTAATGTAGCTAAGTTAATTAATTTGTTAAACTTAGACTTAATTTACATTTTTAAATAAAATTATTAATAACATTAAAATAAATAATTTAAAAAATATGAGAAAGATAAGAAAATGGTCTTTATAATTTTGAGTAGAAAATGGAAAAGTTAGATTGTGTTGTGTTAAATTATGAATATAGATGTAAATTAATAAAATATTTATTTTGCCACTGTAGAGGATGTGAGTGAAATGTTGGAGATTTAGAATTTAATTCCACCACAATAATATAATAAATTTAGGAATTTTTAATCATTTTTCGGTTTTAAGAATTGGGAATATTAGGACTGAGTAAAAAAAACAAATAAATACAAATGCAATTCAGACCAAATTACACTACTTGGTTTGGTGTTCTCAACGTCTTAACTTTTAAAATAAGCAAACCATACTACACAGTTTGATTTGTGATTTTATAGTTATAGATTTAATTTGGAACCAAATCATTTAGATATACATATATATAGGGAAAGGCTTCTTCTATACTAAAGGGTGTCGTTTGCCATCTGGGAGCCTACCACAGAACCCACGTTGATAATCCGAACCTATGAATTTGTAGTGCTCATCGAATACTTTATTCTTGAAAAAAGTCTTGTTAATTAGATATTAATAGTTATTTGATCACATCATATTTGTGTCAACAATTTATATTTAAAATATACCTATATTGACACAAATGTAATATGATGAAGTAATTATTGATATCTGATCAATGTGACATTTTACAAATATGAAGTACTCGACAAATCCTACACATTTAACAGTTCAAATTATTGATGTGTGCTTCATTGTGAGTCCATGTCCGGGAGGCCCAACAACAAACCTGTTCGGATTCTTATTTCAAGAAGGGTTGGCTAGCTTGCTTCCACGTCTTCTTTTTGCCAAGCAACGAAACTTAGATACGTTACTCAACTACCAAACTTTAAGGAAATAAAGTTCTGAATCAAAAATCAGAACATACAGTTCGTGTATCACAAATGACATACTTCAAATCATAATGTTGTGAATAATAACAAAGTTTTCAAAAATCATACTTCAAATTGAATCAATCTTCATTTTATTATTGGTTCGGTTTGATTTAATTCTAAGATTTTTATGATTTTATTTGGTCACCTAAACTGAATCAATATGATCCATCTTCAGAGTGCACTGTTCATATATCACAAATGACTCGGATCCTTGTATTGTAAACATAAATTTCAGAACATGAAACTTCATGTTTCGGATCATCTACCATGTATATCATCAAGAAAACAAGACTAAAACGACATACCTGAATACATTGATGAACGGTTAAACGGAAGGGTCTGATTGTCAATAAAACCTTGATATTGACTATGTTATTGCCTTCTAATCCTTTCCCCTTTGGTGCCTTATGTTTCTCCTTGAGAGGATTTAGAAAAACAAAACAGTGTTCTTATCTTTTCACCTTTGGAAGGAATAGGGACCATAACCTTTTAAAGGTTGTAATTGGTTTTCATAACTGAAAGGTAATGAAAACCAATAATAACCAATATGTTTAATTTCTATTTCTGCCCCTCATAGAAATAGAAATTATACAACTAGTATCTACACATTAGGTCCATAACACATATACCCTTAAGCCTATTAACTAAATTGAATCACTTAAATTGTAGGCTTCTTATAAATGATAAGACCACATTTAATTATGTGGTCCCATTGAGACATTATCTAACAATCTCCCACTGGACCACATATGTATCCTGAAAAATGTGCTTA